CTTGATGGAGATGATGGTGGGTACCTGAGGCTGCTGGTACCCAAAACTCAGCCCTAACCCTGAGCACAGCGTCGCCTTCCTCTCTGGGAGCACTGCCCTGTGCACCCCCCTTCCCAGATGTGTCAACCACTGTTTCCTGCCCTCCCCTTTCTTCTGGTGAAGTCCCAGTTGCTCTGTGAGTGCTCCCCGAGTCCAGAGCTGCCCCATCTGATTGCAGATCCTGCCCGGGCGGGAGCCTCTCGCCAGGAACAGAGACCTTGGTGCAGGGGAGTGGCTCCTTTTGGCAGAAGCTGCACAGCTGTGGAGCAGTGAGTCTGAGAACCCGCGGGACCAGGTCGTGCTGGGTAAGAGTGGGAAGGGGAACCCGGCCTGTAGGATTCCTGGGGTGCAGAGTCAGGTCACTGGAAAGGGACACGGAGTGCCCCCCAAAGCGGGACAGTGGGAGATCTGTACAGTTGTTGTGATCTTTATAATAACCTTTTCCTGAGAAATGCCCTGTACCTTCAGCTGGAGCCTTTTCTCTTTTGCCTGAAAACGCTCATATAATGGATCCCGTGATGTGTTTTCTCTTTCAGGCTAATGAACAGCACCCCTGGTGTTGACGCAGCTCAGGGTGACCGGGAAGCTCGGGTAAGTGACACTCAGATGCAAGAGCTTTGATTATGAGGCATAAATGAAAAATGAATCCGTGTTAATAAAAACCATGATTGATGTTGTCATCGCCTCTGGAGATCATCTCATTCGTGGCTCCCCACACGAGTATCTTCTCATTTTGAGAGAAATACTTTATCCCAAAACTGCAATGAAATAAAATAAATTGCATACAGGTAGCGAGTCCCCCCTGATATGTTACTTTTTCCTATTATGGAACATTCATAAAACAGAGCATTAAAAAAAAACCACCTTGGTGTTATTTTTCTACAAAGACACATTAGATGTGTTTGGGGAAGATGAAGAGAGAATATTCCTGAGATAAAGCCAATTTATCATGTTATAGAGGACATGGTGTTATAATAAGGCCACTGTGGAGCTACCACAAAAGTTCAGGTGAGTGTTTTCATGCCCCCGGCTCTCCTACTGCCTGTGGTGTCTCCACTGCATGAAGCAGGGTTTGAGCTCTAGGAGAGACAGAAAGTGAAAGCCACAGTTGAACTATCAACTATGATCTCTGCCAGCACACTGGATTGATACCAACCTGTGACAGCTTCAGCTGGACATGGGAATTCCATTCTATTCCATTCTTTTTTCTTTTTGTAAAGGCAAGGAACTAGTCACAGGGAGAAGCTTTCAGCTATACAAAATTTTGTTTTATGAAATATCCTGGCCCCATGCATTATCCTGTCCTGCTCCTCTCGTACGTGTAGACAACTTTCAGGACTCTTGTGTTTGGAAGCTGGAAGGGCACAGACTTTGAAGTAGTGTCTTGTTTTCACTGCTTTATTTTTAATTAAAGCTATATACAGCTGGGGATTAAATAATAAATTTCTAAATTTAAAAATGAAGAAAAAGGGCAAAGGATGTTTATTTGGGTTTAAAAGCTAGCCGGAGCACAGGTTCAGGCTAGAAACCCAAACCCCCTCACTAAAAAAAAAAATGAGGTGACCTTCACTCCCAGCGCTGCTGCTCTGTCCTCACCTGCGTGACTAGCAGGAGGCCATGTTTCATCCTCAAATGTTTTTCTGTAACCACATGGAATTCTTAAGACTTTTTAAAAATTACTTTTCCCCTGCCAAGGAGCAAGGAGGTCATTTTACCACTGGACTCTTCATCAGCTTCTGTTACTGGTCCAGATAATGATAGGGAGTTGTGTATATGATAGAAAATGTGAAGAGTAGAATAAAATAGGATGAACAGTATCAAAAAGTACTCTTATGACTTAGCACGTTTCCTTCCTAGTTTTTTCCCCCATATTTGCAATTGTGAAATAGAATGCCTGTGTAGGAGGTGAGCATTAGCTTGAGACTCAGAAAATGAGCTTCCATTAAATAGGCCAAGAAATGTAAAGTCACATCATATGATCTTTGTCCATAAGGAAGCCCCTATATGGCTGTCACTAATTTTTTTCTTTGCTCTTCACTACATATCCTGGTATGTTATCACTGCATGTATCATTAAAATGTGATTTTAATTTTGTGTGATGCTTAATCTTTAAATTAATCATGTTGTTTCTGTCTGGGATGTCACTCAACAGTATGACGGCAAGACTAGTCCACATTTTGGATGCAGCCAGACTGTTTATTTTTGCTGCTGTTTAACAGTCCACTCGATGCTGTTGTTTACATTGTGTTCCACTCGGGTAAGGGGTAAGGAGAGGCTGGTTCATTAATATTTTCCTTCTGTGGTGGAATGACAGCAATGCCTGAATCCCCCACTTTCAACATTTAATACTAATAGAAGTGCTTTCCATATCATTAAAAACTCTTCAGCATTATTGTATCTAGCTTTTACATTTAATTCTGTATATATTGGCGGTTTTTATTTAGATAGTTTCAAATCACTTTACTGTAAATAAAGTGTTGGTGAACATTTTTACACGTACGTATTTTCTATCTGAATTTGGAAACATTTCTTTAGGTCATTTCCAAAAATAAAATCACTATTTCCATTGAAAATGTAAGTATTTTAGGGCCTCCCGGTGGCGCAGCGGGCTGAGCGCCGCGCTGTGAAGCGTCCGCAGCCTCAGCGCCGGGTCGATCCCCGCCGGCCTCGGAGCAGCCCGCAGGGCGCGGCAGACCCGCCTGTCTCCCGGCTGCGCCCTCGGCGGTGCGCTTCGCCAGGCGGCGGTTCCGCTCCCCGCCCTGTCTCTGCGGCGGCCTCGCCCCCTCCAGCGCCCCCGGCCCGTCCCCGCCATTATATAAATAAAGATTAAAAAAAAAAACGGATAATGTGAGTATTTTAAATTCAAAGCTCCCCGCAGAGGTTGCGAACTTACTTCCCAGGAACAGTGAGGACAGGTCTCCTCTCCTGCCGTCACTTGCTCTGTCCCGCTGTCCTGGTGAAGCCTCCCGCCTTTCCCTGCGTCGCGGCGCGTGAGTCTCAGCTCCGCCATTGCCCGGCGCGGCCAGCGGCGCTCTCAGGCCTCCCGCCGGTCCTTTATCAGCCCTTTGCTGTATTGGCCCTTTAAGAGCGCCCTTGGCAGTTACGTCATCACTCTGAGACTCCCAGGATGCACCAGGCGGAATGTGAGAGGCCGCGCCAAGAGCGGCTCCCAGGGGCAAATTAAAGGAGCGAGACGAGTGAGTGTCGCCGCCTTGTGGACTGGGGTGGTATCGTGGGAAAATCGCGGCTAGAAACGGGTCTGGAAGTGGCGCCAAGAGCGGCTCCTGGAGGCAAAATAAAGGGGCCAGAGGAGCCAGTGTCTCCGCCTTGTGGACTGGGGTGGTATCGTGGGAAAATCGCGGCTAGAAACGGGTCTGGAAGTGGCGGCGCCAAGAGCGGCTCCCGGAGGCAAAATAAAGGGGCGAGAAGAGCGAGTGTCGCCGCCTTGTGGACCGGGGTGGTATCGTGGGAAAATCGCGGCGCAAAACGCCAGCTGGACCAGAAGTGGTGGCGCCAAGAGCGGCTCCCGGAGGCAAAATAGAGGGGCGAGAGGAGCCAGTGTCTCCGCCTTGTGGACTGGGGTGGTATCGTGGGAAAATCGCGGCTAGAAACGGGTCTGGAAGTGGCGGCGCCAAGAGCGGCTCCTGGAGGCAAAATAAAGGGCCAGAGGAGCGAGTGTCTCCGCCTTGTGGACTGGGGTGGTATCGTGGGAAAATCGCGGCTAGAAACGGGTCTGGAAGTGGCGGCGCCAAGAGCGGCTCCCGGAGGCAAAATAAAGGGGCGAGAAGAGCGAGTGTCGCCGCCTTGTGGACCGGGGTGGTATCGTGGGAAAATCGCGGCGCAAAACGCCAGCTGGACCAGAAGTGGCGGCGCCAAGAGCGGCTCCTGGAGGCAAAATAGAGGGGCGAGAGGAGCCAGTGTCTCCGCCTTGTGGACTGGGGTGGTATCGTGGGAAAATCGCGGCGCAAAACGCCAGCTGGACCAGAAGTGGCGGCGCCAGGAGCGGCTCCTGGAGGCAAAATAAAGGGGAGAGAGGAGCCAGTGTCTCCGCCTTGTGGACTGGGGTGGTATCGTGGGAAAATCGCGGCCAGAAACGCGAGCGGGTCTGAAGTGGAGGCGCCAAGAGCAGCTCCCGGAGGCAAAATGAATGAGCGTGAGGAGCGAGTGTCGCCGCCTTGTGGACTGGGGTGGCATCGTGGGAAAATCGCGGCCCAAAACGCCAGGTGGAACAGAAGTGGTGGCGCCAAGAGCGGCTCCCGGCAGCGGAATGAAGGCGTGGGTGGGGCGGGTGACGCCGCCTTGTGGCTCGGAGGGGTAATGCGGGGAAACGCAGACTGATGATGGCAAGTGGATGGGTAAGGTAAAGCGCCTGGAGGGGTGAAAGAGATGGAGCGTAAGACGGGAAATGGGGCGGGGGGGGCGGGGGAGGTACGAAGTAGCGGGCCCAAGCGCGGAATAATGTGCGGGCTGGATTGTGAATAAGGCAGAGACGTGTTTCAGAGCAATGGAAAGGGCGGTGAGGAGCATGTGAAAAATAACGGGGAGGGCGCCGCCTGGTGGCCAGCAGTGGCGAGACAGCGCATCCCTGACAAGCGGCCAAATGGGAGGAGAGGCCCAGGTGGCCGAGCTCGGGGACCACGAGGGGGCCTGTGGGACAGAGTCGAGTGACGGCAGGGAACAGCCATGATGGCCACAGGGAAGGGACGGCCAGTGCAGAGGCAGGAGCAGCAGAGCATGGTGGGAATTTGCATCCAGCAAAACCGGACAGAATAAAATGCTAGTGAGACCAGGAAATCTGTCCTCAATATTCCTGAGAAATAAGTTCACAACCCCTCTGCAGTGAACTTTGAATTTAAAATACTTGAATTTTTAATGGAAATAGTAATTTTATTTTTGGAAATGACCTAAGGAAACGTTTTCAAATTCAGATAAAAATCTTTATGTGTAAAAATGTTCACCAACCCTTTATTTACAGTAACATGATTTGAAACTATCTAAATAAAAAACCCCAATATATACAAAATTAAATGTAAAGGCTGGACAGATACAGTAACACTGAATAGTTTTTTAATGCTGTGGAGAGTACTTACAGTGCAGTGTTAAATGATGAAGTAGGATATAAAATTTTAGCGATGATGTAAGCATACTCTCCTTAACCCTTATGTGTGAGTAGAACACAATGTCAACAACTGTACACCGAGTGGAATATTATACAGCAGTGCTAATAAAAGCCTCAAGCTGCATCCAAAATGTGGACTAGTCTTGCCTTCATACTGCTGAGTGACATTCAAGACAGAAACAGAACATGATTTAATTTATTTAAATATTAAATACCAGACAAAATTAAAATCACGTTTTAATGATACATGCAGTGATACATGCCTAGGATATGTAGTGAAGAGCAAAGAGAAAAAGTTATACAGCAAAGAGAAAAAGTTATACAGCCATACAGGGGCTTCCTTATGGATGAAGATCATGACATGTGTGACTTTACATTTCTTGACCTATTGAAAGGAAGCTCATTTTATAATTCTCAAGCTACTACCTACCTTCTACACAGGCATTCTATTTCACAATTGCAAATATGGGGGGAAAAACTAGGAAGGAAACGTGCTAAGTCATAAGAGTACTTTTTGATACTGTTCATCCTATTTTATTCTACTCTTCCATAATATACATATTCTATAATATACACAATTTCTACATTTCCTATAATATACAAACTCCCTATCATTATCAGGACCAGTAACAGAATCTGATGAAAAGTCCATTGGTAAAATGACCTCCTTGCTCCTTGGCAGGGGAAAAGTAATTTTTAAAAGTCTTAAGAATTCCATGTGGTTACAGAAAAACACTTTAGGATGAAACATGGCCTCCTGCTAGTCACACAGGCGAGGGCAGAGCAGCAGTGCTGGGAGTTAATGTCAAGGCCAGCTCATTTTTTTTTTTTTTTTTAGTGAGGGGGATTGGGTTTCTAGCCTGAACCTGTGCTCCAGCTAGCTTTTAAACCCAAATAAACAACTTTTGCCCCTTTTCTTCATTTTTAAATTTAGAAATTTATTCTGTTGAATCCACAGCTGTATGTAGCTTCCATTACAAATAAAAGTGAAAACAAGACACTACTTCAAAGTCTGAGCCCTTCCAGCTTCCAAATACAAGAAAGTTGTCTACACCTAGGAGAGGAGCAGGACAAAATAATGAATGGGGCCAGGATATTTCATAAAACAAAATTTTATATAACTGAAAGCACCTCCTTGTGACTAGTTCATTGTCTTTACAAAAAGGAAAAAAAAAAGAATAGAACAGAGGGGCCTCCCTGGGATGCAAGGGGTTAAGATGCTGCACTGTAAAGCTATCGCCAGCAACTGCAGCACGAGTTTGATCCCTGTCTAGGGAGCTGACCCACACAGGGCAGCAGACCTCCCCGGTCTCCCCGCTGCTCCCCTCAGCAGTGTGTTTCAGTCAGTTTGCCTGTTCTGCCCCCCACTCTGTCTCTGATGAATCCTCTCACCCCTCCATCTCTGGCTTCTACCCCATTTCTTGTATGCATAAATAATCTTTTTAAAAAGATTGATTTATTTATGCACACAAGAACTGGAGTACAGGCCAGAGATGTTGTAGGGGGTGAGAGGATTCACCAGAGACCGAGTGGGGAACAGAACAGGCAGATCTACTGAAATACACTGCTGAGGGGAGCAGTGGGCGTGATAGGAGAGGTCTGCCATGCCATGCGGGACCCTCTCCGGCTGGCGGGGATTGAACTGGTGCTGCAGAGGCTGTGGACAGCTTCACAGCGCTGCATTCAACCGCCTGTGCCACCAGGGGAGGCCCTGTTTTAATTACAATTCTTAACACACCTCACTTTATTTGCATTTAGAGTTAAGACGTTCTACCTTTTGATTTTTAGATTGTAAGAGGTTACAGGAGAATTTTGTCTTTATTTATCCCACAGGCCCAGAGGTGATCTTTTTTCCAAAGTCCGAGCCCTGAGCCATCGGGCTACAGAGCACCCATCTCCCCAGCAGGGGCTGATTCACACCTTAAAGCAAGCAGGGGGTAGAGAAGCAGGAGACTTCCAAGAGCTCACCTGGTCATCTGGGGCGCACAAGTCAGGCTCCTGGCCAGAGAAAGTCCATCAGTCACTTCCTGAAACTTTTAGTCCACCCTCAGGCCTTTTCCCAACGTAACTCCAGCTAATGAGCAGGTCACAGTGGGCTGTGGCAGGTGGGCTGGGGCAGGAGGCACAGGTGGGTCTGTCACAGGCTCCGGGACTCTCAGCCTTTTTAAAAAAATATATTTTATTTTATGTAATTCTTACATCTTTTTTCATCTTTGCACAATGTATGCATTTTCATTTTGGTTATATTCCCCATACAATTGCACCCCCCCTTATTTTGACTCTAGTCCTTCCTTTCCCCACCTCTCCCTCCCCCCACCCCTCGTAGTGTGTCTCTGGTTTATAGTTGCTAGTTGATTTTGATTTTCACTTTCTATTGATAAGTCTTTTTCCTGGTCTCTTATTTAGGTTTTCTAAATTCCTGCTATGAGTGAGACCATCGGATATTTTTCTTTCTTTCTGACTTATTTCACTGAGCATGATCCCTTCTAGCTCCATCCATGTTGCTGCAAACTGCATGTGTTTATCTTTTTTGATTGCTGAGTAATATTCCATTGTGTATATGTACCACATCTTCTTGATCCAGTCACCTATTTTTGGGCATTTGGGTTGCTTCCATAGCTTAGCTATTGTAAATAGTGCTGCTATAAACAGGGGTGCAGGTGCCCTTTGGAATTACTGTTTCTGTGTCATTTGGGTAAATACCTAGCAGGCTCCGGGACTCTCAGCCTTTCACCAACAGCGTCCACCGCAGCCAGACCCTAAAATATCCACAAGTCATGAAAACAGCAAACAAGGTTGCTTGAATTTCTGGGAAAGATTTTTTTTAAATCATTGTTAAAAATCCCTTTACCCGAAGCTGACATAAAAGCAAGGCTTGGGGCCTCCCTGGTGGCGCAGGGGTGAAGCACCGCACTGTGAAGCCATCCACAGCCTCTGCAGCACGAGATCCATCTGATGGAGGACAAGAGTGGAGAGACTGGAGAGACTGGAAAGGAGGACTCACAAGACTAAAACCTGACTCACGCAAGGAGGTGGGGGTCGAGGGGAATCACACGACCTTTAACCCAGCTGTGGAGGTTGGACCCTCAGGCGCCAGTGCCTTGTCACAAGGCAGGAGACCCGAGCAGGATCAGATGCTCTAGGGAGTAGCGCACAGGCCTGAGGGGAAGGATATGGAGATTGGGCCCACCCTGGAACCTCTGGTCCCTTTCTTGTGTTGCCTGTTACCCAACATCAGCAACAAGCAGCCACTCCACAGAGGAGTGACTCTCCCAAAGAGAAAAGGACTGTATCGGGGCAGTCTCTGCACAGGCACGGGGCAGCACTCCCACTGCACACCCGTGACTATGCAGGTGCCTCTTTTCACCAACTCTCTCCCTCTGCAGGGCAGCAGCCTCCTGCCTGCCGTGACCTGTCAAGACTGCCCGCCTGCAACCATGCAGGCCTCTCAGCAAAACCTGTCGCTTTCCCTAATAAACCTGCTCTTTAAATATAACTAATGTCTCTGTCTCATGGAGAAACATGCCTGGGGAACTCGCCGGATGCCGCTGAAACGGGAGCTCTGGGGACACCTTTGCCAGAGTGAACCCCAGGACCCGCACGCACTCTACAACCTACAACATTTTGGCAACCACGAAGGGACTCGTCACGTCATCTGGTGCCAACATCACATCCCCAGCTAGGAAGGTGACCCACAGGGTGCCACAGACCTCTCCTGTCTCCCCGCTGCTCCCCTCAGCAGTGGATTTCAGTCAGTCCACCTGTTCTGTCTCTGGTGAATCCCCTTACCCCCACCCCCGCACCTCTGGCCTGCACCGCAACTCTTGTATTCATAAGTAAATCAATCTGTAAAAAAATAAAATAAAATAAAGGCATGACTAAAATGTCATTTACCTGCAGATCCTGAAATGGATCCTATCGCAAACATTAAAAAGCAGCTGTTATTCAAAATACATTCTGAGAAAAATGAAGGCTCTCGGCTCCACATAGAAGGTTTCTCTTTGCACATCATGGTGCGGCACAATACACTGTGGCCCAGACTCTGACATCCCTGAATCTGCTCTGTGGTTTGGTGTGATATTCAGCATTGAGCCGGGAGCTTTGGGTTTTGTTTCCTGAGCCGAGGCTGGCCTCTCTCTGCCTTTGGATGGGTGAGTTCAATAGAGGATCTTCTACTGCCACTTTGACTTTAGTTTTCTGGTTCTATTTCCCTGCTCAGCTTTTTCTTTTTTCTTTCTTTCTTTCTTTTTTTTTTTTTTTTGCATTTTCTTCTCTTTAAATTATACAGGAGATTTTTTTTAACATTTCTTTCAGGGAAGATCTAGTGTTAGTGGACCACTTCTTCAGCTTTTGTTTGTCTGGGAAGAACATAGTACTCTCTCGTCTCTATAGGACAATCCTGCAGGTTAGGATATTTGTGACTCGTATATTTTATCTCTATTCTGAATACGTTATTTCATGCTCTCCTTGCCCTACAGTCCTCCAGAAATGTAAGTTGGGTCCATCCCCACATATGCATGGTCCATGACAGAAACTTGTTAAGAGGTGCTGGGATCTGGACCTCGTCCTGGCACCATTACCTGAGCGTTCTGAAAGGATAACTCACAAACCTACAGCCGTAGATATCACCTACAAGGCTTTCCATGAAAACCAGCATCAGGCTCATCATCAGGACACTCCACCTATAGACCAGAGAGAGAGAGATTGGAGAAAGATGAAAATTTCAATAGAAAGCAGTCCAATAAATCCAGAAAAGAAAAAAATTATTATATAAGGAAAACATAGCCAAGATCACCAATTTCCTGGAGCACAAGGACCACAGAGAAAGCTTTGGGTCTGGGGACATTGCAAGAGTCGTGCCTACCGTTGGAGCGCCATGCAAGAAATCCCAGGTCCAGACATGCAAATGAGCCCTCTTACTTTCCTTTTACTTTGTGAAATGAAATTATTGTAAAATAATCTCCTTTGTACTCACTGAGTATTTCTGCTGGGAGAAAAAGATGAAAAGAATAGGTCAGGGGCTACCAGCAAACACTTCCATTTTAAAGCCATTTCAGTGACTCATACAGAGCTGCTGCCGTATAAGGCCAAATGTGGCATTTACTCTTTGAAGCTAATTCATTTCCTGCATGTTTGCTTGGGGCATTATTTCATTTCCCTGGATGTTCCTGTAAGATTCAGAATAGAGAATATTATTCAGTGTATGCAAAAATATAATGGGTCTTTATAATGTAGTAAAAAATGATATTTTAGGGTATCATCACTGTGAATGTTACATTAATCTCAAAGTCTAAAATCCATTTACCTTATTCACAGAAATTCATGCATTCTACATGGATATAGAATATTGAATTGAATTGTTTCCTCTGTTTAGTGCAATAAGCTCTATAGACTGACCACATTTTAGTGGATTTATTTCATACACTGTTCCCAATATGAGTTACTTTGTATTTGGGGCTTTATATGTACCTAGTTGGCCAGAAAACTGAGCAGGCAAAATATAAGCAGACCAAAAATACCACAAAAATAGCAACAAAATACCCTCTTATGTTCAGAACAACTGAATAGCAACATTTCTCTATATCAAAGACAAGAAGCTACCTAGAAATCATTTTTTCAACTCTATAATATAGTGATAGCCTGAAATTAATGAGGCAGAAGGAGCTTTCCCAGATCCCACACAGTTCTGAGTGATCATGTGACTAGTTCTTCCCAACAGAAAGTGAACGGATGTGGCAGATGTCACCTCTGGACATGTTAAGAAACTCATGTTCCTTCTCAATGAACTCTTAGTCCACACCCAAAGAATGGATGTGATACGCTATGACATTTTCAAGGATACTTGATCTGTGAGCCAGAGGTTGCTAGTATTCTTGCAAGACCCCGTGCTGCAGGGGGTCTTGTTGCCCCAGCCAGATAGTATACTGACAAGCAGAGAAGAAACAATTTGGCCCACTTGACAATGGGAGATGGTTTGTTGTGCATGCCTGACAAGCAATCCAGCACAACTATTATAGTAAGTCCTTCTTTTGCTTTTTTAGAAGTTCCTTTTTATTTAGAAGTTTCCTAGGAAAGCTTTTATATGAAGTTAACTGTGTTAAGAAGTTTCTAGGTAGAAAAAGTTCTGATAGCTGAGTAGCAGCTGGTCTCCAGCTGAAGGCCATATGAATAGAATAGTCTTTTGATGCTTAGGCTTTAGTTGATAGGGATGTACTGGCGGCTATCCACTATCTTAGGTAATTGTCTAGCTGAAATAATAAGTTTTAGTGTTAGGTTTGGTTTTTTATCTATTAACCTTGACAGCTACTGTCTAGCTGAAACCTGTAGGAGCCAGTAGTCCATGGGAATAAAATACACTGATTGTCTCTGCTTTACACATGATGCATTTTTTTTCCTGATTACTAAAAATGAATAAATAAAGAACTGCTGAGTCTCTCGGCAGAAGATACTAGCATCTCACCAAGTGTCAGGGTCTCCTCATTCTATCTCATCCCCTTCCCCTCAGCCCTTAAGTTTCAGCCCCTTACAGGTCACCCTAGGCCGTCTCATCCTTTCAGGAACCCCTGACACAACATTTTGCTGGAGGCTGGTCCCCGGCAACCTAGCAAGATAAAACTGGTTCCATCAGAATTGTTTCTTAGAAAGAATCATTTTTTAAGAAAAAAATGTTTTGGGCCTTCCCAGTAGTGCAGCAGTTGAGCACTGGGTTGTGAAGCTGCCTGCAGCCTCTGCAGCGCCAGTTCGATCCCCAGCTGCCAGGTGAGGGTCCCACGTGGCGCGCAGATGTCTCCTGCCGCCCTCTGCTCCCCTCAGCAGTGTACTTTGTCACTCTGCCTGTTCTACTCTCCGTTCTGGCTCTTCTGAATTCTCTCACCCTCCCACACCTCTGACTGTACCAAGTGCTTGTATAAATAAATAAATAAATCTTAAAAAATGTTTTATTCTCTTGAACTGTTGCATTTAGATTTAATTATCACCACAATCTTGTGTGTCTTCACTAATCTTTATGATGAATATACTCTCTCCTATTGCTTACAAATCTTTACTATTTCCAGAGATCTCAGTCTGTGTATCTCCCTAGAAGCTCTGTAACTTCACCTATTTTCATTCGCGTGCACATACTCTGTGGGTATTGCATTGTGTTATCGACTTTACTGGGGAAGGGAGCAGTTGGTCATATAGATTGGTATGAAATGAAATTGTTACTGGAATGATAACCATGACATTAACAATGCCTGTAGATAAGTAGTGATTTGCCACTTCTTAAAAGTAGAACTACATCCCCTTAAATTTAGCCAATACTATTTGCTGTGCCCATGAACATTCTCTGACAGGTGTGATGAGACCGCACTTCCTGCCTTCGTTATTCAGACAGAAAAAGTTGTTTCATGGAACACGTGTTTTAGATGAAAAGGAACAGGTAGGAAAGAAAACTATAATGCAAATCTAGACCCATAGCAGGATAGTTGACAGCTGTATGTCTGCAGGAAAAAGAGAGTCAATATTTTCTGTGAGGATAGACTGAAATGGGATTAAAGTACAGCTGGATTTTATCTGATGTTCCATAACAGTACACATTTCTCTCAGACGTAATAGTAGTATCTGGATGAGTTTGACAACTTAGACTACTCAGTAATCACAAATTCTATCAATTTTTTTGTATATAAATATTGATAATTTTCATCTAGCTAATGTGGCAGTTCAGAAATACGAACGCCTTGCTAAATACTGTTGTAATAGATTCAGGTTTGCTCAATGATGCCTATGCAATGACCTCTCTAAAACCTTACCAAAATGATGTACACAATTCATGACCTTTTTACTAGATTGAGAAAGATACAACCCTGTGATCTCAAGAACTGTATGATGCTGTATGCACTCAGATTCTTCTAGAAATTTCCTAATTATGTTTATATATGAGCTTGATCAGTATGTTTGAAATGTTATTCTGAAGAAAATAGATCATATATATTATAATATACTTTTCATTAAACTATTAACTGTTCTTTAATCAACATTCTGTTAATCTTATGTATCAAATAAACCACATTCCCAAATATTTTCTTTTGTTTTATGCTTGTCGGGCAGAATTTTATGTTCGATTTTTTTTTATTATATTCCTATGCATAATATGAAAGTTCCTGTCAAAATGCAGAGGTAATTCATACCAGCAAAGACTTTTTTTGGTGGGGGGGAGCAAGGGGTTAGACATTTTAGTTATTTAAAAAACACAAGAGGGCCTCCTTGGTGGCGCAGGCGGTTGGGCCCTGCACTGTGAAGCTGTCCGCAGCCTCTGCAGCGCGGGTTCGATCCTGGCCGGCCAGTGAGAGTCCCACATGGCGAGGCAGACCTCTCCTGTCTTGCCCGCTGCTCCCCTCAGCAGTGTATTTCATCAGTCTGCCTGTTCTGTTCCCTGCTCTGTCTCTGGTGGATCCTCTCATTCCCCCCCCCGCATCTCTGGCCTGTACCCCAGTTCTTGTTTAAAAATAAATAAATCTTTAAAAAAAAAAACACAAGAAACTCTTAGTGTCATCCTGTAAATGCTATGAAAGCTAACAACAAGGATTATAGTGATATCCATTACTCTAAGGACAAAGAATGAAATTTAGCCTGGCCCACAGACCCTGGATCATCTGTACTGGATCTTCCTTTCTTAAAATAAACAGAAAGATATGCCCAGCTCATGGGTTGGAGGAATCAACATTGTCAAAATGGCCATCCAACCCAAAGCAATTTAGAGATTCAATGCAATCCCAAAAAAAATTCCCAATGGCATTCTTCAAAGAAATAGAACAAAGATTACTGAAGTTCATCAGAAATCACAGAAGACCCCAAATAGCCAAATCTGTTCTGATATCAAAGGGGGTAAATGAAGGTATCCCATCTCTGATTTCCAACTATGCTATAAAGCCAGAATAGTTAAAGCAGCATGGTAATGGAACAAAAACAGACACACACACTAATGGAATAGAATTGAGAGCCCAGATGAAAAACCACATGTTTATGGACAAGTAATATACAAGACAGAAGCAAAGTACAGACACTGGAACAAGGAAAGCCTCTCCAATACATGGTGCTGAAAAATAGGAACTGCCACAAGCAAAATAAAGAGATTAGATCATTATCTCATGCAACACATTAAAATCAACTCAAAATGGATAACTGACTTGGCTATGAGACCTGAAACCACCAAAAAACAAAACACAGGAAAGAATAGGACAGAATAGAATGAAACTCCTAGGTTCCAAAAACTTGCCCCTTTAATAGCCATCCCCAGGGTCCAGCCCGAAGGCACGCTGTCATTTTCGGTCTCCTCCTAGAGTTCAGATCCTGATGCTGGTAGCAGAGATTCCAAAGTCAACAAGAAAGATGGTGGCAGCAACATAGAGCGTTCCACTTTTGTGGAAATGCAGCCATGGGCTGACTTCCGGGCAGGCTTGCCAACCCTACGAGGCCAGAAGCATCGTCAATTATTTGAGTGCTAAGGCTCCAATGAAGCAATGAGGAAGGAAAAACACCTCTAGGCATAACCAGAGCCATGTCAAGGAGCTGCAGGAACGCCAACATCAGTGTTCTCCACCACAGAGTAGGAGTAACATCTCTATAGTGTCATTAATGGAGATCACTCACTCAGTCATGCGTGCACTGCAGGGCTTCAGGTCACCTCCAGCAGGTGCTCAGTAAACGCGATTCCTTTCTCCTTCCCTGAGGAGCCCAACTTCTCCTCATAACGGGGATTTGCGAGGAAGGAGGTAACATCACTTTAACACATTAGAACGGTTAAGAGGCAACGTGGCTTATCTACAAAATGCCCAGTTTCCAGAGGAATGAGTCAATGTGGCTGATGCAGCCCCTGAAATAGGAGGGATCCTCTTGGCACCAGGTGTCCTAGATAAAAGATCTCAAGAGCTCAGGAGAGGGCCCTTCTGGATCTCAGATGATCCCCCATGAAGAACTTAGCACCCCTGGTTGATGACAGCCCCTGCCTTCACCTGCTGTGTTTCTCGGCTGGGTCCTTTAGTGACACAGAGAGGGTCCCTGCTCTCACTACACTGACTCTGTTAATAATAATCCATTTTAGAAAACCAAAGACTTGCAGCCAGAGTGTGGCAGGCCATAGGGTTCGTGGTCACTCAAGGCTCAGGAAAGCCTGGATTCTATTCAAGGGTTATTGTAAAGTCGCCTCATGAGGCAGTTTCCGGGGTCAAATCCCCCTTCAAGGCTCTGAATGGCCACATCACCTGCACGACAGGGAGTGACCCCTCGGCCCCCAGACATGGGCCCAGGCCCAGCACAGGCAGCATCTGAGACCCCATGAGAAATGCAGAGCCCTAGGCACCACACAACCCACTGTGTCAGAACCTGCACCCTGGGAGACTGGGACTCGACTCTGCCCTCCTGCCTGCTAGACCTGGCGTGGGGAGGGGGGTGTCAGCCCCAGAAAAGTTTACAATACATTCCCCAAATTATATTTTAAGTCCACAGAAATAAAACACACAGATCAACGGAACAGAACGGAGAGCCCAGAAAACCCAACCGGGGGTTGATCAGTGCAGCAGGGAGGAGTCGGGAGCAAACACAGGGGACGTGCTCTCATTCGGGGGTGCCGGACACCCACAGGGTCACACTCAGGAATGTCCTGATCCCCATTTTCCCGCGCAGAGCTCTCCACAGCCCGCCCGCCTGGCCCTGGGTCCCCTGACTCACAGCTCTGCAGGCAGCCACCGGTGGGGAGATGTCCTCACCCTCCCCTCGCTCTGGGGTGGTTCCTGAAGAAACCGGGTTCCTGCAGGCAAGGACTTCACCCCACCTCCAGAGAAGCCAGTGCCAAGGGGAGCTGGGCCACTGGGGAGGCAGGAGCCAGTGTTGGGGCGGGGAGGGGCTGCAGGGGCTAGGAAGGGGCGGGTCAGCAGGAGGGGCGGGGCTGCAGGGAGGGGGCGGGCTGCAGGGAGGGGCGGGGCTGCAGAGAGGGGCGGGGCTGCAGAGAGGGGCGGGGCTGCAGGGGCAGGGGAGGGGCTGGAGAAGCAGGGGTGGGCCTGCAGGGGTGGGGCTGCAAGGAGGGGGCAGAGGGGCTGCAGGTGCGGGTGTTGGGGGGGCGCTCCATTGCCGGGGGCAAGCGGGTCGGCCCCGGGGTGCTCGCGGGGGCGCCCCCGCCCGTCCTGCTGCGGCTGAAGTTTAGAAAATCAAGCGGACGCGGAGGCGAAGAGCCCACGTCTCTGAACATGCTGTGAACCTAGAATTTCCACAGCCAGTAAAACAGCAGATCGTGTCCACGTGCATCACAGACACGCGGGGGACACGGACCCGGGCCACAGGGGGCCCCGAGCCCGCCGCCCCCCACAGTGAGAGAAGGGGCGGCCCGCTTCGCCCGCCCCGGCCCCGCCCCCGCCCCGCGTCTCCTCATAATTCCCCGCGAGGCCGCATTCCCCGCCTCGCCACCAGGCGGCGCCCCCCCCCCTGCTCTTTGCCCCCCAGGGTTCTCCTTCCTCACCTCGCCCGCGCGGGCAGGGGCTCCGCTGTCCACCACTTCCGCTCCCACCGCTGCTCCCGCGTCAGCGCGCAGTGCCGTGACGTCAACACGCAGGGGGCGGGGCCGGGCCGGGGAAGGAGAGGCGCCTGGGAAACCAGGGGCGGAGCCGAGAAAATGGAAATCACGGGTTTTGTCCGATTTACTGATGCACACTTAGGTGAGGAACTGTCAGGAAGGGCAGGGAAGTCATTGCAGTGAAGCCGCCTAGTCCTGCTTCCTGGGGAGGAAGATGATGACGCCGTGGGGTCTTAGGGTTCTGCACCCAGTAATGGGGGTTCGTTTTGTGATTTTAAATTTTCCCCTGCGCAGTCTCTGTCCTCGCTGTGGACGCGGGTGTTTAGTTCACAGTTCAAAATATTGGCAAAGAGGAAGAAGTACGCTAATTCTTAAAATTATCTATTTTAAAAAGATGTGTTTATTTTTATGCAAACAAGAACCGGGGCCTGGGGCAGGGGTGCAGGAGGTGAGAGGCGTCACCAGCGACACACCGGGGAGCAGAACCGGCGGGTGGACTGAAATCCACGGCCGAGGCGGGCAGCGGGGAGACGGGGAGGTCTGTGCGCCCTGCGGGCTGCTCCTGGCCCGCGGGGGCGGGGGGGGGGTACTCGCGCTGCAGCGGGGGCCGGGGCCGCCCCGGCCAGACCTCTCTGCCCAACCGCCCTCGGCAGACGCGGCGCCGCGCAAGGCCCCCGCCGGCCGGCGACCCTGAGACTCCAAGGGGGGCTCCAAGCAGAGCCAGGGCACACGCACCCCGCCCGGTCCCCGATGTCCAGCTGCGGCACCTCCAGGACTCCCCGAATCCTCCTAGCACCCCCTGGCCACACGAGCCGGGGGGTAAAGGACACCTGCACCCTCCGCTCCACGCACACCCCCAGGGGCAGGCTGTGCCCCGAAGACGCCCTCGGTGGAGGCGCGAGGTCACTGTCAGGGAGGACACCCCCCCACCCCCGGAGCCACACAAGCGGCGACCGCGCCCCCTGCCAAAATCGCAAATAGGCCCGCGCGCAGCCCGGGGCAACCCGCATCACTGAAGGGGAAGAGGCCTCACCTGCCCAGCAGCGCTGAGCAGCCCCAGGCTCCGGCCCAGGTGAGCCAGGCCCGCCCGCTTGACTGCGCAGGCGCAAAAGTGACTTTTTTTTTTCAGAATCGCCGGTAGGGGGCGCGGTTGGGGGCCCCGGAGCCCTCTACCCTCTTGGGGGCGCCCGGGACCCCCTACCCCCATTCCCGGTACCTTATTTCCAGCGGCGATGCTCCGGTTGCTCCTCTCCTTGCTCTCTGCCGCAGCCTTTGTTTTCTCACCACCACACCCCCCCCCCCCGCTCAGGGGTGCCGCGTACGCCTGCCCCCCCACTTCCTCCAGGTGTCCCCTCGGCGGCCGATGCAAAGCCCACGCTCCCAACGGCCCCCAGTTTCCCCAGCTGCAGGTTGCCATAAGGGCGTTGGGCGCAAACCCCAAAAGGAAGCCATCTTCCCGTACCCCTCCTCCACCCGCCCTTCGCTGTCTCCGGACAGGCCCCCCTGGTTTCTCAGGCCACGGGACCCTGCGGCCGTGACCCGCGCAGCTGAGCGGCGCCCCGAGCGCACATCACCGCAGACACCGCGGAGACCCGCTCCTTCCCGACGGGGCGCCCCGAGGGCGGAACGAGGCGCCCGTGTGCAGGCCCCCCGCGCTCGCTCCCGACGCCCCCACAGCCCCGCTCCCCGCGGGGGAACCGCCGCTCCGTCTGGGCGGCCCCCGCGGTCCGTGCAGGGGCGTCCGGCTCCGGCCTCTCCGGGCCGCGGGCTCAGCGCCCGCCACCCCCACCGCACCCCACCCCCAGCCCCCGCCGCGCCCGCTGAGGTCTGAGACGCCCAGCCCCGGGGTGCTCACTGCCGTCCCCGCCGCTCCAGTCTCATCCCCCCGCCGCCGGCGGCCCCTGCGCCAGGCCCTGGAGACCAGCTCCCCGCGGGCCGCTCCAACCCGCTCCGCCGCGGGCGCCCCCACGGCCCCGGCCCCGCCCGCCCGGGAGGCTGCGGCCTCGGCGCCCGCCTCCGCGCCCGCCTCGGCTGGTCAGAGCGGCTTTTTGAGTCTCTCCCGCCTGTTGCGAAGAACCCCGCCCCCCAGGCCACTTAAGGCCACTCCTACTCTCCTCTCCGGGGGCACAGAGGAGCCCCTCGCTGCCCCCGCCCCGTCCCCAGCCTGTGGCGTGGCCGTGAGCCCCGCCCTCCGTGGGCTGCCCCGGTGCGCCGGGGAGCGGGGTTGGGGGGCGTCGGGCTCCTGCTCCCCCGCTGTGTCTGCAGCTCGGGGTCCCGGGCGGGTCCCCGCCAGCAGCTCGGCCTCCCCCCAGGTCTCCTCAGGCAGCTCCTGGGCCGCGTCCGCCTTGTGGGGGCCGCGGCGCCTCCAGGGTCGTGCCCCCCCCACGGGCAGAGCTTGAGGGACGCTCACCCCAGACCTGCTCTGAGCGGGGCTGAGTCCATCCGCAGCGCCCCAGCCTTGCGCACGGTGCCCCGCGGCGCCGGGTCAGGGACTCAGAGAGGAGCCACGCCCCTCGCTCCCGCCCCAGGCCTTGGGGGGCCGCGTCCGGGTCCGCTCCGGGTCCTGCAGCCCGGGCCGGCCGTGGGGCGGCTGCTGGGCCGGCTCCGGGCACACGGGCAGAGGGTCCTGGGGCTCCGGGGCTGGCGTGGGTCTTTCTTGTTCTCCCCGACAGCGCAGCTGGGCGCCCTGGGGCAGGGAGGGCGCAAGGCCCCAGGGAGAGGCTCGCGGGCCCCTGAGAACCCAGACTCTCCGGAGGGGCCGGGTCCCGGGTGAAGTGGGGGCTGCAGGGCGGGCAGGCCCCGGGGCATCTGGACTCTCCTGGGCTCTCACAGCATTTCCCGCGGGGTCTGCTCCACTCTCGCTCTTGCTTTTGCGGAGCAAGCAGTTCCTGCTCTTGCTCTGCTCTTCGCGGAGACGCCCCCTTATATGCGCTGCCCCGCGCCCCAGGTGTGCGCCCTTCAGGCCCCAGCGCCTCCCGCGCTCCAGGCCCAGGTGATGCCTCAGAGGCCCGACCCCCAAGACCCCCGCTCTGGCCCTGAGCCCCACCACCATGCCTGCCGGATCTGCTCAGGGCCGCCCCGCAAAGGGTCGCAGTGTCTTGTGTGTTTCGGGAGACACTTTGGAAAAGTCACTGACCCTCAGGTGACTGCAAATGCGCGGGGACTTTCCCAGGAGCACAGGTGCTCTCCCTCCACTCTCAGAGCCCCTCACCGCCTAGGTGACCGCACCTGCAGCTCTGCCGTGCTCTCATCGCAAGCCTCCGTTTCGCGTTTAACAGAAATATTCCAGGGACCCAGCACATCGCCTCCCAAAATAAATCATCTGGGTTCCCATGTGGAAGTCCATTTCAACCCTCAACACCTGCTCCCACAGGTGAGAACATCTTCCTCCATCTGATCGACTTTGCTCTTGGGCACCTCTTCCTGACACGCTCCTCGTTTTCACACCATGGTAGGTTCAGTGTGTGTCCCTGCCTGCACTGTGGGGTGTATGAGAGGGGGTGATTTTCTCTTTTTTCCAAGAGTTATTTATTGTGTATACAAGCACTGAGGTGTAGACCAGAGGTGGGGGTGGGGGGCGTAAAGGATGCACCAGAGAGAGTGGGTCAGAACAGGCAGATCTACTGAAATTCCCTGGTGAGGGAGCAGTAGGGAGACCAGGGTCTGCTGGGCCCTGTGCGCTGCTCCTGGCCACTGGGTCCATCTCTTGCTGCAGTGGCTGGCGACAGCTGGATGGGGCTTTCTTTAAGAAATGATCTAAGGAAATGCTTTGAACCCAAATAAAAATCTATATTCGTAAAAATGCTAACCAGCACTTTTTTATACTAACAAATACTGGAAACAATCTAAATCAAAACCCCAGGAAACAGTCAAATAGATGACAATCAATGTAGCAATTAGGTACAATCATTCTGAATAGTTTTCAATGACTTGAAAAATACTTATAATGTGAAATGAAGGAGGAAAGATAAAATTGTAGACATAGTGTTATTCCAGATAGAAAATGAACTTAGGATTGATTTAAATTTTAAATACCAGACAAAATTGAAATCATGTGTTATGTATGCATTTAGTGATACACACTGAGCTGATGAATTGTCATGAAGGGCAAGGGAAATAATTATGACAGCCATATATTCCTGCTTAGTCGGG